TCGTCTTCCGCTAGTGCGATCTGGTGGTAACCCTGTGACGCGTCCATCATGCTGAGGAGCTCACATCCTGCCGTAGAGTCTACTAGTTGATCGATCCGGGGTAATGGGTAATGGTCTTTAGGGCAGGCTTTGTTCAAGTCTCGGAAGTCTATACACATCCTCCATTTGTTCAACTCCTTTTTCACCATGACTGCGTTTGACAACCACTCTGGGAACTGAATCGGTTTAACATGTCCCGCTTGCAGCAGCTTACTTACTTCGTGCTCAATAATCAGGTCCAGCTCGTGTCCAAAGTGTCGACGTTTCTGCTTCACTGGTCTCACCCTCTCGTCGATGTTCAAGTGGTGTACTGCCAGGTTCGGGCTGATACCTGTAAGCTCATCTGAAGAGAAAGCAAAGACGTCTACGAACTCCCTCAGCATTCGTATCACCTTCTCTTGTATCTCTTGTGGGAGGTCTCTACCGATGCGGGTAGTCTTTCCCTCTACACCTTCTACCAGTTCGATCTCCATCACCTCGTCTTGTGTGGTCATCTCCACTTTTGGTCGTTTTTCGGGTCGGTCCTCCTTCCCGTCAGATCGATCCTTGTCCTCCTCCCTTCTTCCGTTAGATTGTCCTTCTTTGAGTGTGACCTGATAGCACCTTCTTGCGATTTTCTGATTGCCAACGACTTCTCCCACCTTGTCACCGACTGGGAATTTCATCTTCATGCAATACGTTGAGATGGCCGCTTGAAAGGTGTTGAGGCTTGGTCGCCCCAGTATGACGTTATACGCTGAACTTGTCTCCACCACCAAAAAACGGATCATCTTTACTTGTCTAAGGGGTGGTTCCCCCAATGCCACCGGTAGCGTTACTTCACCTCGAGGCATAACTTCGACGCCACTGAAACCGTACAAAGCCGTTCGCACCGGTTGTAACGACAATCCCAGTTCCATTTTATCCAAGCAATGCGTGAAGATTATGTCTACCGCGCTCCCCGTATCCACGAAGACTCGCTCTACATCATAGTTCGCTATCTCGGCCGTGACCACTAATGCGTCATTATGTGGCTTGGCAACATCTTTGAGGTCTGAGGGTCCAAAGTGTATGAGCGGTATTTCCTCTGCAATCTGCACCTCTCCGCTTCGTCTATCTTCGTCGAGAGATCTTGCATGACGCTTTCTTGCTTGGTTTGAATCCCCATCCGTAGGTCCACCCGATATCATATGGATCACCCCTTTCTTTTTTGGTGCCGGATTGGTTTCCTCGTCGCGTCCCCGCTTCTCCACTTCTTTCTTGTCTCGCCCTCGGTCTTTATCTTTCAAGACAAACTCCTTAAGGTGTCCAGCGCGTATCAACCTTTCTATCTCATCTTTCAACTCTTTACAGGTGTCCGTGCTATGTCCATGGTCCCTATGGTATCGGCAATAAGCATTCGGCAACCTGCTCAACGGCATCCCATTCCTTTTTGGGAGGGGTCGGGGTCGATCCAGCCACGATACGTTACCCTTCCTCTCCAACACCTCGAAGACTTGCTCCCTTGTCGCAGCCAATGGTGTATATCGATCGAACCTTTGTCCTGGCTTCCAGTTTCTTTCCTCTACCTGCTTACCCTCGCGTCCTCCTTGACGATCATCGCCTCGGGGGGGCTTGCGCTCATCTCTCCTGTCTTTCTCCTTCTTAGGTTCGCGCTGTATGAAGTCAGCTTGTGATTCTTCCATGTTGATGTATTTGTTACAACGTCCTAGCAGTTCATCATAAGATTCAGCCGGTCGCTTGGCCAGCGAGTCTCTAAATGGACCCGGTCGTAATCCTCTCGTTAACCCTCCTGCTTTGATCTCCTCCGTAGCTCTCGGCACCTCGACACACTCCCGCGTGTACCTGTCTACATACGCTCTTAACGGTTCATTCTCCCTTTGCTGCATGTTGATTAACGACAAGTAGGTTTTCTCGTGTTTCCGAGCGCTCGAGAACTGGTTGACAAACATCGAACTGAATCCCTTGAAGTCCTTGATGGCTCCAGGTGCTAACTGATGGAACCAATCTTCGGCCGGCCCTTTCAGCGTGGTTAAAAAGGCTCGACAGCATACTGGATCACTGTACTTGTGTAGTACCGCTATGTTTTCAAAGCTTCTCAGGTGTCTCGTGGGATCAGTCGACCCATCATAATATATCTGTAGCTTGCGGAACCCAGTCGGCAGTTCAGCGTCGATCACGTCAGCTGTGAAGGGATGTCCATGGATCGTAGGCCCCGACCTTCTGCTTTCGACTTTCTCTTGCAGCTCGCGCAATTGCGCCGCCATCTGTTCTATCAACGGATCCCGACTCGCCGGAGAGATGGGGTCTCGCCTTGCTTGCGGAGTAGGCGCGGGTGAGTGAATGGATCTTTCCGCTCCAACCTCCCTTGACGCTCTGCACTGCTCCGCGGTTCGATCGTGTTGTTCTGCAAGCTGGACTGGTTGCTCCCCAGGTCGAGCCCTCATCCCTGCTGGCGAAGGAGTGCGCGCCGCTACTGCATCCGCAATCATCCTCTCCAGCTCTGATCTAGTGATGTGTAACGTCGGTTCGGGGGTGCTAGGTTGATTCTGGGGATTCACCGTTGGTCTTTCTCGGTCGCCTGTTGTCACCAGGGTGTGGGGTGTTTCCCTCTCCATCGTCACTTGACGTCTAGTATCTGCAGCCGGCGTCCTGGGTGGTTCCTCGCCGGGAAGCCATTCACGCGGCGGTCCACCTCCCATTGGCCGGGTATGCAACCATGAAGTATCTTCTTCCTCCCTGCGGGGTGTGTCTTCGTCTCCCATTTCACTTACCAAATGAATTTCTTTGTTGTGAAAGTACCACCAAGCTGCCGGTTGAGCTGGGGTCCCCACAGACGGCGCCAATTTGATAAGGTTCCGTGTAAGCGGCTCCGGTTCAGGGCGGTCCTTGGCTCAGGGGTGCGTCTTCCTTTTCCTGGTTTCCACTCTGAGATGGAGCTCGTGAGTACCTGCAAAGTACGCCGGAGGTTTTCCGGCGTAAAACCCTCCAAAGCTTAAGTTAGTATTTTGGGAGACGAGTAGGAGGAAGATGAACAGTAACAACGTTTTGGTAGTTGAATAATAAATGTCACTTGAATAACTCTTACACTGTTTCTGTATATATAGGTGATTATCCCATGATTAATTATCTTGAAATATTATATTAATTTTCGATGATATCCGAGGTCGAGGGTCAATCCCAAGAGCTCGATTGAGTGACATGGGGAGCTGAGGTTGAGTACTTCGATACTGTAAGATGGAGGATCGACCCTTGAGAGCTCGATCATGATGCGGGAGCTCGATTATGGCGTTAGAGCTTGGTCGCGATGTGGGGTCGGTCCTAGAGATTGTGACCCTTGTCTCGGGCGGTTCGATCTGCCGGTACTTATATCCCTATCAGTGCACAAAACAATCTCCTCGCCCTTCCCGATGATCTGCTGTTGAAGATTCTGTTGAACCTCTCTGCTGAAGACATTTATCACAGGGCAAGTCGTGTCTGCCGGAGGTTGTACTACCACACGATCCGCTCCGAGGAATTCGTAAACCTCCACCTCCGGCAAACCGAGGACGAATACGGCCTCTTATTCCGATTCGTTTATGCCCCAACACGTGAGTTTCTCGGTAATAATCAATATTTCTCCCAACGCACGGTTTTTCGTGTCTATGAAACAGGGACGTGTCACAGTATCCCATTACTACTACGCTTATAACTCCAGCTTGAGCACTAGCTGCAACGGCCTCATCGCGGAGTACAATTGTTGGGTACCCTTGTCGTGGGCAACCCCGTCACGGGAAGAGCCTTCCGACTCCCTCCTATCCCCGAAAACGCAAAGTTTATGTATTGTTGCGTGGGGTACGCGCAGGCCTCCAAGGCTTACAAGGTGGCCGTGGTATACTGTGATGGGGGATGGAATGGTCACGTGGGGTGGGCCATGTTGACTGTGGGCCTCGACAGATCGTGGAGGCATCTTGCAACCGACCATTTGACTGGGTCCATCCTCGACCAACTTGTGGTCATGGAGGGTTTTATTCATTTCATCTTTCGGGACACTGTCCTGACGCTGAATGTGGAGACGGAGGGTATGACCGAGACGCGGACCCCAATCCCATACCCAGTCATGTACATTGACAGGTGGTACCTGTCAACGGGGAAATCCCTCACTCTAGTGTTTCGAGTTGGGGTTGGCGTGTTTCGAGTTTGGGAGATGGTGTTTGGGGATAATTATTATTATTGGAGAGAATGGGAACATCAGATTGTGTTGGGAAGTGAAATTCATGACGATAAAGATAAAGAATTGTGTACTATTCGGCCGGTTGGTTGGTTGCAGCAGATGGAGGTGTTGGTGTTTCAAGTAATGTCCAAAAACATGGATTGCCATGGTTTCTACGTGGTTATTGCTACCGGGGAAATCGGATGGATCACACCCATATCAAGTAAAAAGGATGGCTTGGTTGAGAGATTATATGATATTTATGATTCTGTGCCCCATAGAAACACCCTTGAGGAGTGGAACGAGTATTATTAAACCCATCCACCATCGAAATATTACGTTGATTTCTTGTTTATATATGTTGGTAGGATGAGATTTCTTTAAATATAGTTTTTCTTTTTAACAAATAAACAAAGTAAGCTGTTGGGTCTTTCTTTTGTTTTATTTATTCTCTCCAGACAGACATGCAATGGTGTTTGAATAGTTAGTCTACATGTTTGGAAGACGACTACCAGTTAGATTAACTATTAATTTACCCACTTGTAATTTGCAGGCTTACTTGTGAGTAACATGGATCTTGCAAGGTTTTGTTGGTTTGAGCAGTGTGCCTTGATGAATGTTGGTGAAAAATTATGCCTTTACAGATTTCACTTTGATAACTTGATTAATTATTTCAGAGTCAGAGAGGATTTTATCTATTAATTTTATGTGAAAAGCATTATTGGAATATATCTAATTTTTATGGGATAAAATTGCCAAAAAGAAAAAAAAAAGTTTAGTAGTCTGTCAGACAACTGTCAGGCCATCTTGGCTCGCCAAAGCCAACCAAGAACGATCCTCTACTGACCCAATGGACACACGACCGAACCCAAAGGGTAGGATAAAGAGGTACGAGCCTATAGAACAGATCCTGTTAAAGTAAGGTCTTGCCTTGTGAAGCTGTAATGGTTCATGAAAAACACTCAATTTGTTTGGTGTTTTTCTGATGTGAGACTTTGTGTGTAAACTTCAATTGCCTAAAAACCGTTTTTTAAGGACTAACTAAAAATCTGTTACACAAAGATCCACACATACAAAAGAAGAACTAAAATCTAGAGATTTTTCATAATAACTATTTACAGTTACATTTGATAACTTAGGTAGAATACATAAGGAAAGTGTCTTGGGGTAGACCTAAAGTCGGTACACACCATCAGCACACTCAAGCTCTGATGAACCTCCCTTCAGACGATCTCACCCGGAAAACATGCTCCTCCCCCGTACATTTATCCACCCTCACCACCCAATTACTCGTGCTTCTCTTGCTTTTCGTCATCAGCAGGCCTTCTCCTATCGGCAGAAGCTGCGTCTTCAAGTCTCTGTTCCTCCATGTCTCCTTGCAAAACGCATTGTACCCCAAAACAATGCAGTTTTTGTGATGATGGTGCTCGATTTTTTCCTGAATGGCACTTATGATGGTCTCATGGCTCTCGAGTTTGCAGTCAACAGCCACAAAGTCCGAGTCTTTGTACTGGCTTGATAAGAGCTCTTTGGCATCCCCGTGAACGAACTCGATGTTGGCGGCATTTTGCCCAAGAGCTAACTGGGAGGCTCGGAAATTTTGATGGTCGGGGAGTATGCAGACAATACGCCCGCCGGTTTGGTGGGCGGCTGCCGCCAGGGCTAGGGTGGTGGAGTCCGCCGGGCCGCCACAGGCGACCACCGTGAACCGGGCGTTGTTGCCGGCCGCCAGAGCGGAGATGAATGCAGCGCCGTTTGGCTCGTTTGCACTCTTTCCCTGAATACAGAATCAAAAAGAGAAATTAGATAAAATTATTCAATAAGTACATTCATTTAAAGTTGTGTTTTGGGATTATTTTCTTTAGATGCTTACCATTTTCATGGTTTGGAGGTACGCATTGGTGGCATTCTCGGCAGACCAGCAAGCCATTTCTTACAAAATAAATCTTCTCTCTGAAGGTGTGATGATGTGCTCAATCTTGGAAGTTGAAATATTTATAGAGGCAGGCGTAGGGACCTGCTGTTTTTTGCATGTGGGGCTCTGTCTATCCAACTGGCTCTGCTACAGGGATGAATAAAATAAACTAAGCCATGAAACTCAATTATGTATGCCATTATCATTATGTATTGCCCACTACAGTCCAAAACGTTAAATATGTACATATACCAACTCAATTGTAGTTTAAGCTAGAGTCACACCAAAAGTTTTGTTTAATAAGGAATTAATATTCTTAATCTGACAAACGTCCAGGGAGCTAATTTCATATCCTTGTAAACTCTGCATCTGAGCTGTAATGTTGATACCCAGAGGGACAGCTAAAACTTCTATAATGGCCAGATAATTAACCAAACATTAGCTCTAAGAAGGGATAATTAAGGTCAACTCAAGAAAATGTAATTTTTGTATTAGGATTGTTGCAAAAACTATGTGCTAGCAATATTATTCGTCCTGTAAATGGAACACTGTTTCCTCGCCTGTCTCATGGACAATATGAAACTTGAGAATATCTTGCATTTACTTGTATAAATAATAATTTCTCTTGCTATGATTTAATTGGTAATGGAAAAATAAAATAAACAACATATCAATCTTGGAGAGTATAGAATAAACGATATAGTGAAATCAATGTGCAAATGTAACAAGCAGGCTCTGAGAAAACAGAAATGTTTATAGTTTCCATTGCCTCCCGGCAGGCGAACACAGATTTAGATCAGATCAATTTGTTTCCTTTCTCAAAATACATAAATAACATAAATACAGCAATCTTAAAATTTCTGTCCCTTGGTCATTCATTCACTGGGCGAGGTCCTATCTGTCTTTATGATTCTTCTAACTGAATTAAAAAAAACAGATGGACAAAATTTGATGTCCTATACCTGCTCCCCTCCTACGTGAAAACGGACAAGAGTATACGAATCCTCGTTTCATTCAAACGCAAGGATCGTGCAATTATGTAACAGGTTTGCAATAAGGCTTCAAGAATCAACTATATTACGTACCCGAAGAGACAAAAATATTAAATTAGTTATTTTCACAGCCTCTGTCTCAATCAGATTATCATCTATTTTTCACCTCTTTTAATTTTAATTAACGTTAAGTCTAAAAATCTAATATGTTATAATCTATTTTCCACTTCTTCCAATCAGCGTTGTCTGTTTAGCCAGACATTAAATATGAGAATGTTAGGGCTAACTTCTAAAATAATTAATATATTATCTCACTAGCACATTTATACTAATATAAATTTGGCTTTAGTATATATATTTATTCCTTGATAAAAGAGAAAATACCAGTTTTACTTATTCTTGTTCACCACATAATACTTCATTTATTATTTTATTATAAACATTGTTGTCATATAATGACATTTTTATTCATAAAAGTTATAGAAGTTGTATGTCTTCTTTTTATTTTTATTTTTATGTAATGAAAAATATTTAATGCACGTTAGTATTATTCATTTATGTAATCAATTTAAAATACGTAAATAAATTTAAAATTAAATAGTGTATAAATATTTTACAAAAGATACACACATGTTTTTCTCAAATTTCATTTTGTATACTAATTAAAGAACTTTGATCTAGGAAATGCCAAAAACTCAATCCCTTCTATAATCTAAATTTTTCTAATTTGCATTATAAGGATTTATAGTTTATTTAGCATACTCTGCATGAAAATATATTTTACAATAATTTCATTATCGAAAGAAATCAAAATAGAAAATGATAAAAAAATAATCATGGTTGTCAATAATATACAAATAAATTCTAAAGAACAATTAATATATTTCAATTTTAATGTTTGACCATTAGTAAAACTATTTAATGTATCTGGTCATTATCTCTTAAATGGTAAATTATGTTAATTTAAATAATAATTTATTTTTTTTATATATAACGAAATAAAGCTTAAGAAAAAATTATTGACAAAATTATTTTTAGAATTTGCAAAATATGTAAACAAGTAAATTGTGAAAATATAAGTTGACATCCAAATCCGAAACTCATCAAATAATTTGTATCCATTAACCAGAAAAAAAGATAAAAAATAATTCCACAAAACTAAAAATGAAAAAAAAATTATCCAAAATATAAAATAGAAACAAACATACATATATGTGAGATTTGCAAAAGAAGTGTCAATTTATATAATCAAAGATTACTACTCTCTATCTTTCTCTCTCATTAAATGGGCTCTTAACAAAAGATAATTAAGGCATTAAAAATTCAAAAAGTAAGGGTAGTTTGGTCTGTCCAAATTTTTACAAAAATAGTGGTACTTTTAAAATAGTAGAATAGAGATAATATATCAAATCAATCATCTTTTTTTTCTTCATCAATCATCTCTTTATTACCTTTGTTTTGACATCTATATTGTATGATAAAATAAATAAATAATTATATTTATACTTACAAATAAAAATTAAATTATCTATTAATTTAATTAAAAAAATTAATATAAGATGTTATAAAAAATGATTTATCAATTATATAAATTTAATTATAAAGTAGTTATACGATATATGTTAAATAATATTATAATACAAGATGAGTAAATCGTATGTATATGTGTACTAATAAATATAAATAATAATAATAATATACATTTTTTTCATAAAAACATATAAAATATAAAACGGACTTTTTTTTATTACTTTTAAAATTTAAATATAATTTTTTTAACAAGCACAATTCATAGACCTCCGCCAACCGGTCGAGTTTGGCTCTTCTTCCTAGAGATGTTAAATGGTCCTTGGCCCAACGGGCCGGCCCGTTTAGCTCGGGAAAAAAGAGGGTTAGGTCTTTTCATTAGTAGCCCGTTTAAATCAGGGCTTTTTAGGCCCGGCCCGTTTAGCCCGAAGCCCACTAGGGCTAGCCCGAAACCCGCTAGGGCTGGCCCGTTTAACTAGGGTTGGGCGGTGTAAATGTTTGCATCAAGTAAGTAATATGCTCTTAAATTCCTTATATATTACAATTTTGATATTCCACTTCACATGTAAGTACGAGTTGTAATGGATTATTATGATTTTGAAATATAATTATTAACAATATTGTTATTGTACTTCATACCAAAATATTTAAGCCAATCAGAACGACTAATAAGAAATACATGAAACATAGTGATGGACGGTAAATACTAAATAGCCATTGAAAATAATTTTTAACTAGCCGTTGTTATTTTTCTAATATTTTTTACTCTTTTTATTTTTTATTTTTTTATATATTATTATTATTATTATTATTATTATTATAGCCATAGCCCGCATAGCCCGTTTAGCCCGAAGCCCGCAGCCCGCTAGAGTTAGGGTTAGATCCTTTTTTTGGTAGCCCGTTTAGATCCGGGTTTTTTAGACCAAGACCATTTAATCTGAAGCTCGCTAGGGCTAGCCCGAAACCACTAGAGCTAGCCCGTTTAACATCTCTACTTCTTCCAATCACTTATACCTCGACACATGACCCTTTTTTTTTTTAGTATCGACAATGTGCGGTTTTCATCTTGATGAAATAAGGACATGATAGATTATATGTAGGATTAGCTGAATTCACCTGCAATTTTCTATACAAAATATGTGTGCTTATCATAATGATAACATAATTTACAATTGATAACTTAATTTACACGCAAATTTTAGGTAACGTAATTTTAGAGTATCCCGCCGCGATATGTATCAATCGAAATTGTGCTTTTTTATTTTTTATTTATAATAAATTAGATTATTACAGTTTATAGTAAGTAATTAATGTGTTTGGTGAGTAATCTATACTTATATTAAAGGGAGTCATATTTAACAAATTAAGTAGCCAGAAAAGTCAACAGCATTTATTATTACATTACTATTTCCGTATTATACAATCTATACTTATATAAAAGGAGATTCTATTTACTACATTTATTATCCAGAAAAATCAACTGCATTAAATATTTAAATGTCATTAATATTTTGGTATTATAATATTTTATTTATTTAATTAATTTATTTATTTGTTTTATTTTAAAAAGGTAAGTATAATTGTAACGCAAAATTCGTTTTATTGAATTAATAAACACGAGAACTTCGTACAAATGGATTTCAACAGATCGAGTGAAATAAAGTGGATTCTAAATCTCTATTATTCCCCTGATTAATTTCTTCAAGAACAATCTTCAAGTGGATTTGAGACTTTTGGAGACGAATCTTCAGTTTGATCTCCGCCGGTCTTGAATATGAGTTTAAATAACGTCTCTTCGAGGGCTTGACAGCTTGATCTCGAATCGAACGTCTTGATTTCCCAAGAACGTGAAGAACACAAGTCCTTGGTCTTCGTCGCAAAGTTGATCTTCGATCTTCTCTACGTCGGATTTGACTTTAATAACGTAATTCGGAGGCTTGGTAGCTTGTTTCCGGATTGAACGTCGGTCTTGAGCTTGAATGCGCTTGAATCTTCCTTCGAATCTTCAAGAACGCCTTTGGATCTTCAAGAACACTTGAATCTCGTTGAGAGAATTCTCTAGAGCTCTTGAACTTGGAACTTGAAATATGAATATGAATTGTCATTTTTTTCACCTTAGGGAGGATCCCTATTTATAGGTGTTAGGAGAGAGAGTCTTGGAAAAGAAGACTTCATTTTGATTGGTCCATAATTTCCAATTATTTTACTCTTTAATAATTATTTAAAGAAATAATTATTTATTTTACTCTCCAAGAAAATGACATGTGGCATTCTTTAATTGGCCTTCAAAATATACATGTGGCATTCTTTAATTGGCCAACAATATATATTAAATAATCAATTAATTAACTATTTAATTTAGGAATTAAAATTTGATTAATTTCCTAAATAAAATAGAAAATTATTAAATTGATTTTAACATGGAATTTGACACTTGTCGCCATTTTATTGGCACAAAATTTAATTGTCTACAAATGCCCCCTCGAGACTTGTTCACGGACGACGTGTCTTGGAGTGAATAAGTC